GACCGCGGTCGACCGCGGCTGGAACACGGTAGGCCAAAAGATTGAGGCAGAATAGTTGCGATTCACCGCGGCCGCGGTCGACTGTGTAATTGCCGAGAAATTTTGGGACTAAAGTGTAAATCGGGGGAAACTTATCCTAACCCTTGATAAACTCAACAAACTCGCCCAAGCAAAGGTTAAGCTTGTTTTTAGACTAAATTGGAGGCAAGAACAAGTGTGAGAAGAGCAATCAACCATTAGAGTTTTTCAATCTTCTCTTGGTTATTTTTAATTGCACATTATGAATACTTTTGTAGTTTTATCTTGCTTTGCAATGAGTAGCTAAATATTTAGTCTAAGATTTTGATTGAACCTGTTGAAGGATGAACTTAGTGTTATGTTAATATAGTTTGCCCGGTTTAATCTCTATTTGTTCAACTACGTTCTTGTTGCAGTTAATTGATAGGATCCTCAATTAGCTGTGCCTATTTAGTATGTAACACTCGGAAGAGAGTGCATATTTAGGTAATTGTTGAACCCCAAAGTATATGAGGGATCAATAACCGAGGGTTTAAAGGCGGGATTAAGGATAACGAGCCTTGGGTGCGATCTAAAGTGAGCTGTAGTAAAAGCCAACTAGCGTAACTCGGGAGAGTGCGTATAGTAAATTGTCATGATTACTCGGGAGAGATTTACGGTAATATGAGTGCTCATGATCAATAGAGACGATTAGGCAAATCTATGCGAAACATAACAGGAAGGGATTCCACCAATAGGGAAATCATAACCTTAGATCCTTCTCTTACTTGCATACAAACCAGTCATAGTTAGCTCTTAGTTACTTGCTTTCATTCAGTTATAGTTAGTAAAAACATCTCCAATTGTTATTCAAAATATCTGGAAAGTTGATTACGAAGAATTTAGTGAGTCTAACAAGAGTAATTGGTAGGTTAATTCCCTATGAATTCGACTCTGGGCTAAATACTCGGATTATATTTGTAGCGACTGTTTTGTCCTTTTTATAAGGCATAGTTGGGCGTGATCAGTAACCAATTATTCAAGTTGTGAGAAACTGAAGAAGACAACATACTAGGCAATAGAAATAGTATTTTTATAGCCTACTGCAAACTAAAAAGAAATTGCGAGGCGAATTAAATAGTAGCAGCCTGCAAGTGAAGTAGACAAAATAGAATAGAGGACTTTAAGGGACACGTCAGAAAACTTACTTGATTGCAGTTGTCCTAGCCTTTAAAGCCGTGCTGTAAAAATCATGCACCTCCTCAGGAGCTGAAAAACAATCCAGGCAATCCTTTAATGGAACCCTTGGGCGGACAATTTCATCTGTAGACCTGCAAAAGCTATACATTTACCAAGAAAGTAGAAGAAATGGAAGTATGTAGCAGACCAGCTGAAACTCACACGTCCTTTCCTTCTGCAGCTCTCTCAGCCTTTAACTTTTGAAAGTCTGCTAGCTCTCCTAGAATACCATACCAAATGAATAATAAGATAGAAGCGCAGGCAGGGGAAATATAAAGTACGACAAAAACTCACTTTTATTTACCACCCTTTCTAAAGGAATATTAAGAGAAAGAATATAATCTTTCCTCCCGTTGTAGGCCACTTTTCCTGAGGGACATTGGAGGCGTTCTTCAATTCCAAACTTGAAGCTCCTCGAAGGATCAATATTAGGGTTCCCGATATTCATCCGATCAACTTGATCAATGAAATGTAGGAAAAACTCTAGTGCATCCTAGACATAAGCTAACATCAATAAAATGTACTGATAACAATAGCCATGATAATGACAACAAACCAGAACGAACATAGATGCAAAAGTACAGAAAGACAAAAGCTAGTGAGCTTCAAGGGCAATGAAAAAAAAAAAAGACGACACGTGAGCATGAAATCAGTTATAAAACATCAGTGGGAGGTGAAGCAGTTATGGAATAAAACAAAGTTGTTATAAGAACCAGCCCAGACACACACTTCATCACCTCAACGGGAAAGAGCTATATTGGATGTTCCGTGGCTTGAGATGTAAAAAATACTCCCTCCGTTTTAATTTATGTGAACCCATTTGACTGGGCACGGAGTTTAAGAAAAGAGATAAGACTTTTGATCTTGTGGTGTAAAATGAGGCACATATATTTTGTGTGGCTATAAATTATTGTGTAAAGGTAAATTGTTTCCAAGTAAGGAAAGGGGTCATTCTTTTTGCCACGGACTAAAAAGGAAATAGGTTCACATAAATTGAAACGGATGGAGTAATAGATTTCAGGATTTTGTTAGTTGTGAACAGCATTATAATGTTTTAATTGGTTATCTCAAATGGAAACATCTAATGATTGAAGTAGATTCCAGATACCTGTTGTCTCATAGTAGAAAATTCAGGGTGGCTAGCAGCAATAACTGACTTGAACATGCGGGGACGGATTCCCTCCTGTTTCTGAAAGTTAAGAAAAACAAAGGATTTATAAAAAGTTGGGAGAGAAAGAGGGGTAAAAAATACAATGTCAAGCACACAACCTGATTTAATAGGTAAATCATTCGGCCCAAAGTAAGTCTTGAAATGCCTCACACCATGAGAGGAAGGTAAAAGCCCTCTATCTAAATCTTTAGAAGATCATTGTGAAAGCTAGATTAAAAGCATCTAGTTTCAACTTTTAAGGCTCGTATTATATAACAAATCACAGTTACTCATGTTATAGAAAGAGCACTCCCCCAACCCCAAATTATAAGCATTCGCAAATCGCAATACATGCCCGATAAAGAATTGGAAACTTAGAAAACAATTTTGGCTAACACCAGTGAAAGCTTTCCATGAACCAGATGCAACCATTTTTTTACCACAATCCTATTTTATTTGCGAGCTTCGTCATCATGTTAACTTCAGAGCAGCATAAATCCTACCACATGCCAGTAAATTTCCATCAAATATTTGATTAGCCTAATAAAAGCTATGGAGTGAGCTAAGATTATGTATAATATATGCAAACCAAAAGAAAACATGAACTTCTTCATATATGAAAGTTTACCAGTGAACTTGGAGCACTTGACTTGTCATCATCCTGGATCACAAAAAATAATTGTTATCCACCAAGAAGGCAATGCACAAAGAAATAATTTTTCCAGACACATACCTCCAGAACAGGAACAGAATATTTTCCAGAAAGCAAGCCATGAGCTAACTTTGTTCTGCCAAAATCAGTGTAACGTGTCAACATGTTAAGAGCACACACAAAGAAATCATAAAAAGCAAAGCAATATTCATCATATCTGCAAATTGAAGAATGAAAAGCGCTCCGCTACGGATGCTCAGTATTTATTATCGTAGAAAATTCAGAAAATTAAAAAATTCTGACACAACAGAAGTAATTGTCCTGGTACAGCATAGATTGGACTCACAGGATACAAACTCAGGATATTCCCCGAACTCCCCCCCC